CAACATCCCGTGACCCAGATGCATCTTCCAGATGAAGAAATGATTTACCTGCAGTTCATTCAATCCAGTCTGCTATATTCGCTGCTTATAATGCAGTCTCTTCTTCACTGGGGAGATAACACACAGACCGAGTGACTGCTTGGCCAAACACCTACTCTCTGTCCATAAAAATGATCCTGAGCTTCCATTGCCTGCCATGTCAACATCATGTGTTCTCACACTAACATCTCTGTCTAGCAACAGTCAACATAAGCTAGAGGATCAATGTCTCATCTTCCACCCAGGTACCCTACAGCCTTCAGGAACCAATGTTGAGGTTAACCATTTTGGAGCATGAACACCTCCCTCCACATCTGTTACCCATCCCATGCCTTCAGGTCCATTCCTGTGTGGGTTACTCTGAGCACAGCCTATCCATTTATAAATATTCACAGTCCCTGTTATCATCTCCTCATTCCTGGAATATTATCAACAACCTCTTTGCCTGCTTCCCCTTTCTCTTTCTCTCTCTGGGCACTGTCCCCATCTTTCTGTGTAACACTGCACTCCCCTCCCCCTGCAGTGACTCAAAATATCAGCCTTGTTTTCTCTGTCCACAGATGCTGCCGGACCTATTGAGTCTCTCCGGCATTTTCTGTTTTGTTTGTTCCTTTCCATAGATAAGGGGACCAAAGCTGTTCACCATATTCGAGGTATTGTCTAATTAGTGCCTTGTATTCTTTTGGCAAGAATTTCCTAATTTTACACTGAATTCCCTTTGAAATCAAGGCCAACGTCCCATTTGACTTCTCTATGAGCTGACGAATTGGGATGCTAGGTGTTTGTGATTTATACATAAGGACTCTCAAATCCCTATGCTACAGGTTTCTGCAGTCTTCCCCCATTTAAATAATATTCAGCTCCTCTATTCTTCCTGCCAAAGTGAATAACCTCATACTTTCCCATGTTAAATTCCATCTGCCAACGTTTTGCCCACTGACTTATCCCTGTCTATCCTCACTACTTGCCATCCTACTTATTTTTGTTTTATCCACAAACCTGGTGATTCTACATTAATTTTCGTCATCGAAGTCATTAATATATATTGTAAATAACTGTAGCCCCAGTACTGAACCCTCCATTAGTTATAGGTTGCTATCCTGAGACTGTATTGCTCCATCATCTGAACTCTGTCTTTTTTCAATTGGCTAATCCTCTATTCATGCTAATATAGTATTTCTCAACACTTTGGGCTCTTACCTTATTGAGTAGCCTAATATGTGCTACTTTATCAAATACCTTTTGGAAGTCAAATACATTCCTTCTACTGGATTTGAACCTGGGTCCCCAGAGCATTACCTGGGTCTCTGGATTAATAGTCTAGTGATAATACCACTGGACCACTGCCTCCCCTCCTCAAAGAGTTCTAGTAAATTTGTCAGGGTAAATTAAGAAAAACTTCTTCAGAGAGATGTTAAGGGATGGGATGGTCTACCCAGAAGTGTGAGAGAATCAGACTCCATAGGAACTTTCAAAAAGTGACTGTGCCTGTGGTGAAGAGGTGTAGGGATATGTGGCACTAAAATGAACAGCTCCTTCACAGGCACAAGGGGCTGAATGACCACCTCTTATGTTGTAAAATTCAGTGACTCTGTGAATCAGGAGGAGCCTGGGCTATGTAAACTTGGAGTAACTCCTCACATCTCTGGGCAAATTATTTTGCGATAGAAAGCTGGAGTCCCGTCGTTGGGTTGTGGTCAGTGGTTATTATGATCAGTGCTGTGCTGAACTTGCCACCTGTGCTACTGACAGCACGAGGGTGGTTTCTGCCTCATGCCTTGCCCCAGTGACAGGATTGCGGTAAAGAACTTGCTCACATGAGTACTAAGCACATGCACCAGCTCTTTGAAAGCATTACCCCTGAACTCCCCACTCCCCAATCCTCACAACTTATAACAATTTGCATTCACATAGCACTTATAAAATGTTGAAATTGAATTATAAGAGTATAATAAGCAAAGTTTGAACAGCTGGTCAACAGGTAGACTATATGAGGAGCTTCTTAAAGGATGACAGAGAAGAGGACAGGCTTAAGAATAGAATTCTAGAGTTCAGAGTCTGGATAGCTAAAAGCATAGCTGCCAATGGAGAGGAAAATGAAACAGGAAAGTGAGAGAGAGAGAGGGAGTAAACAGAGCTCTTGGAGGTTTGAGGGGCTGGAGGAGGTTATAGAGCTAGGGAGGCAAAAATCCATGGAAACAAGGTAGAGAATTCTAAAATCGAGATATTGATGAACTAGAAGCCAGTGTCAGTTAGCGAACACAGGAGGTGATGAGTGAATGGGGTGTAATGCAGGTTCGGAGTGGAGTTTTCGATGAGCTCACGTTTAGGTGAGATGGGAGATGGGAGGTTGACCATGAGATCATTTGAATGATGGAGCCTGCAGGTATCAATGACTTAGATGAGAATTTCAGCAGCTGAGAGGTGGCAGAGACAGGTGATGCGACGGCTGTAGCAATATGTGTCTAGACAGTACAGTCATTCCCCTTGAGGGAGTGATAACACTTAGATCTTCTGTGTTATGACTGAAAGCTTAGAATTTGCAGCAATTCACAATTTGACAGTTTCACACAGCCACAGTCATGGGGAAGACTAGAGCTGCCATTTTGGGTTAGATGCCTTTCTGGAGCTTTTATCACATGACTTCCATATCCAATTCCCTGCCTGGTCAAACAACCTTTTATTCCATCTCTGATATCATTAAGAACAAATAAATGAAAGTGTTCAAAAGAAAAAGAGATAAAAACTCTGTCCTAGAGATTAATCTTTAATTCTTGGAGACTTCAAGGCAATCTGGAGGCTTGACAACAAGCTTGTGATAAGACTCAGTGGTTGTAAACAGAGTTTACACAGAAATGTGAATATCGACTTATCGTGCACCAACTCACTCACTCCCTGCCTAGGATCAATGTGATTTCAGATGGTTTCATTAAGTCCTTGAATTCCTGCCATGAAACAATACTGTAAAAAGTTTCAGCAAGTCAGAAAATGGAAAAGCAGGACCTCAACCAACAACAAAAGAATAATTTTATTTTGTTTCCACCTGTTTCTCCTTCTTTGTTTATGGGTTTTGAGTCTTAAAGGGCCACCTTCCTCTGGACATTGGCAATCACCTAGAATCCAACCAAGTATTTAATGCATTAGTAACAGACCATTCGGCCCAACAAGTCGATGCCGGTGTTTGTGCTCCACACAAGACACTCCATACCCTCCTTCATCTAATCCTATCCACATATCCTCTATTCCCTTCTCCCTCATACGTTTGTCTAGTTTCCTTTTAAATGTAACCATGCCAGTCACCTCAACTGCTCCCCGAGGCAGAGAATGGTCTGAGGTTCCTCGCAAGTTCTTTATCGGATTAATTGTCCACAGTTTTATTTTTACATCGCCCTGCTTTGAACTTGCTCCACAAGTGGAGACATTCCATTGATCCAAGCTTGTTCACAATCACACAGTCACACATGCATGTTTTTTACTGAGGTGTTATAGGACAATGGTCAGCAGCAGGATTCCACCACCTAAACCCAAAGGGTCAGAGGTCAATAATACTGTCCCATCAGCCAGGTGAGTCAGCCTAGACAGGGATATATGTTGCAGACTTTCTGTCTAAACTCTGTGCATGTTCAGAGCTGCTCCTCTTCAAATGTGTTAAAGGCCAATGAATAAATAAAAATTCTAAAAAAAAATCAGTAATTAAGTATTTACGGGCTGGATCATTGCAGTGAAGAATGAAACAGATAAAGAAAGAACATGCATTTCTATCACAACTTTCATAACCTCAGATTGTCCCCAAGTGCTTTGCAGCTAATGAGGTACTTTTAGAAGTGTTGTAATGTAGGGAACGCAGCAGTATTATTTCGGCTCAGCAAGATCACACAAAACAGCAGTGTCATCGTTTGTTTCTGGGATTTTCTTGAGGGATAAATATTAGCCAAGCAACAAGGTAGATCTCCCCTGCTCTTCTTCCATATATAATGCCCTGGGAATTTTTCCATCCGCCTGAGGGAGACTGATGAGAACTTGGTTTAACAATTCCTCTGTAAGACAGCACCTTGGAGGGTGCAGTGCTCCCTGGGCAATGTTCCTGGAGGGTCAGCCTTGACATTGTGCTCACATCTTTGGAAGAGGAATCTGAAGGCACATTGACTCACAACTGAGCCACAGCTGGATGGACCAAGCTGTTGTGTGTTGGAGGTTACTGATGTGAATAGTGGGGAGCCCAATATCCCATCTACCTGAATTAAAGACTATCTTTAGTGAGGCCTCGGTCACTCCCTTTGAATTATTTAGAATAACTTGTGAGGGTCCCACTTCTGATCATTATCACCTACTTGCAAAGTGAGTGGCCTAGGAACAGGGTGAATGAGGCCAGACCATCAGCCAGAAGCTCCTAGTAACCCTGGTACAAGATATCTGTTGTGAGAGTGTTTCAAGGATTCTGAAGTTCTTGATTTCTCAATCCCAGGCATCTAGTATAGTCAAAATGGATATTCTAATTTCTGATGATGAAGGGAATCCAAGGATATGGGCATAGAGCTGCCAGGTGGAATGAGGTGGAAGATCAGACATAATCATTTTAACTAGCAGAGCAGTCTCAAGGGGCCAAATGGCCTACTTCTGGATCTTATTTCTCAAGTTCTTGTGCTGTGTTCCCTCTTCTGCATACTTTTATCATCATTCTCTTGCCCAGAATTAAAAATAAATGTTGGATGGATATAGATTGGGAAGGATATTATTAACTCATCCACTCAGAAAACCCAATATCCTAATGTCTGACAGCTTGCTAAGTTATCCAGAAGTTATCTATCCCCATCACCCATCCACATGGAAACAATGTCCTCCATGATCATTCATAAATCTGCCTTTGCCTGTTGCCCCTGTGTCGCCCACCCCTCACTTCCCCAGCAGTCTCTTTTCCATTTGACTTGGTGTTTCAGATTTCCCTTCCTTAATAATCTTACCTACATTAGGGAGGTTCTTCATTCACTCTTTCCTCCTACCCTCACACTCTCATCTTCTTTCTCTCTCCTCATTCTTCTTCCAGAGCTGTTAACATCACAGACGTATTCGAAATAATCTCAGAGTGCCTCCACTTGCCCTAAAGATTACAAAAGGGCTGCAATTAATCTGTGGAACTAGGACAGGAGTGAGGCCATTCACCTAAATTCCATTATATTTTATTTAACTCTTTTACATCATTACCATGTTCTTACATTTGTACTCTGATGTATTGGATCCATTGTTCCAACCTAATGTATACTCAGCAGACATCCATATCGTGACATTATTACGTGAATCTTAGAAATTACCTCTACTGGAAATTATACCTGGTGTTGAGCAGGAGCCCTAGTCTGGCATGGTATTCTCTATCCCATTTGCTGCAAAATTCAGCAAAATACAATGTAAAATGGTCATTCAGTAACACAGAAACTGGGCAATGCTGGAGAAATAACATTTTGTCAAATCGTTTTACCTTGCACTCATCTGGACAATTTCGAAGAAATATCATGATGAGGGGCAAGTGAGAGGAGCATGTTGATTGGTTGGCAAGCGAACTGTGATTCGTAGAGTTTTAATTCTGTTAAAAATTTAAACACAGCTTGGCAGTTAACCATCAGTCATCATCAATTAACGCATTCACCATCAAAGTGTCTCTATTAGTTACAGTCTACTTGCCAACCAACCAGCAGCACACTCCTCTCATCCTTACTTTAGTATTTTGTGCCGATTGTCCCAATAAGTGCAAGTTGAAAACCTTTGACTATATGTGCGTTTTTCATGTAATATAATATATACAGAGTTCGCTGTTGTATAAATAGTCTGCGCTATTCCAAAACATAAACAGGATCCATAGGGTTTGCTTTCATATCACAATAGATACAGATTGTGTTGTGATATCAGCTCAGGGTGGGAACCATCACTTAGATGTCAACACACTCAATGGTGGCTCCTCTTCTCCTCACCCACACAGCCCCTCCCTCCCCTTTTAGCCCCTGCAAGGAAGGGCTGAAAATTCTGGAATGTTGACAGAGTCATCAGTGAGACAAAACACTGACTTGGCTCAAACAAGAGCTTTGACAACGTTACCAGAAAAATTGAGTCAAGGAAAGTTCCTACATTTAGTGACAATTTTGAGGCTGGCAAAGAAAACCAGAATCCCCACTGGTCCTTTCACAAGGAGTCTGATCCACAGAGAGGTCTGGCAGAAGGGTTGAAATCTAACCTAGAGTCTTGCCTTCAGGTTTATTGATGTTGGCTAGTTCTGGTTTTGTTTAGAACAGAGTGGTAGCTCTTCAGGAAAGCTATGGGGAAACGTTGTTTGTGTGGGGCTGGAGTCACATATTGGCCTCAACTGGGTAAGGACAGCTGACCTCCTGCCCCAAACGGTCATTAATGAACCCATGCCAGCAGTTGCATGTTTATTTTTACTGATAGCAGCTTTCTTTAAAATTCCAGACTGATTCAGATTTTGTTAAACTGAATTCAAATTTGCAAACTGTCAGAATCAGCTCAATGATATGACATAATACACTGATACCTGAGGCTGTTTTGAATTTAAATCACCTATTTACATCCAATTAAAAACACAAACAATTCCATAGTTCTACCTTCATAGCTCTAATGAATCCCATTACTTTGTTATAAATCCCCTCCAAAAGCTTAATCCCCGCTTGAAGATAAGTTGATCAGAAAATCCTTGGTCAAAATCCTGGAGCTCCCTCCTGTAACAACACTGTTATGTATCTGTACCACAGGACTGCAATGGATCAAGACATTCCACCTTGTCAAGGGCAATGGGGTGGGGGGGAGGAATATGCACCATCATTACTCCAACACCCGCATTTCACTTATCTGTATGTTATATATGTTTATACATATAGAAAACAAAATGCATCTTAAAATGTGACTTACCAGTGTTCGACAAAGGGGTAAAATAACCTACTTCAGACTACAAGCAAATCCAGGATGACAGATTCTGAGTGTTTTATTTCTGAGTCTCTGAGAGAAACTCCTGTGTAAGCTCTTGGGAGAGGGTCTAATGAAGGATATTTGGCCGTAATGTTATTGTTATGGTCCACTATGTTTATGTGGTCAAGCAGAACTGAATATCTCTGTGGACCACTTCAAAGGGTAGTCAAGGGTCAACCAGACAGGCATAGAACCAGAGTCACAAATAGGCCCATACCTGGTAAGGGCAACACGCTTCCTTCCCTAAAGGACACTAGGGTAGATGCTACAAGGATATGTTTCAGCAGAAGATAGAACGACATGCTTTAAAAACAAGGCAACAAAGCCAGAAATTGTTGGAGAAACTCAGCAGGTCCAGCAGCATCTGTGAAGAGAGAGAAACAGAGTTACAGGTCCAGTGACCTTTCTCAGAACTAGTCCTTGTTCAAAAAATGAGTTCAGATTCTCAAAATGGGACTTAAACTTGCAATCCAAGAGAATATTAGTCCAGGCCCCTGGATTATTAGTCCAGTTACATAGCTATGACACAGCTGTAACCTAAACCACCATCCATTTCTCGCGGACTCATGGTGCCTCAGTGGGGTCTACTGGTTGGTATTTGTTTGTGCCCCTGACTCCCTGCCAATGGGAGAAAGGATGGTTGGCTTGAGGAGTTCATGTAGGATACAAGGCATCCCTCATTTTGGGAATCTTCAAAATCTCTTCCAGGCGACTGTAGAGCTTGTGCCTCAGCATCTAGTCGTAGCTCAAAGCACAGGGGTATTGGCAATGATCAAACCCTTAACATCTTCCCCCCCCCCCCCCCCCCATCCCACCCCCGCCCCTTCAAACCCTGGGATGAAGAGGAAAACAGATCCCCAAGGATAAACCAGCGAGTGTCCCTCTGACTCATCTTCCGCCAGACATTACACAGAGGACCTGGTGAAGACTGAGTGCCCGCCTTGTCGGAAGAAACACAGACCCTGGCACAGTGCAAGCAGCAGGAAGAGGCAGAAAAACACAACAAAAACAAATGTAAAAGAGAGAGTCTCTCTGTGGCCCGGCTGTACAGAGAACTCCAGAAGCAATCTCATAATCGGCAATAGTCAGGCACAAGACAGAACCTGCACTCAGAAGCCAAGAGACTTCAGTCAAAGGAACACAAAATGAAACCCGTCCTCAGATTTATTAATGAATCGTTTAAGCATTTGGCTATGTTTTTACTTCCAACATAAAAAATTCTTCTTAGATTCTCCCAGACTGACACACCATTCGATAGAAATTCTCCCGACAATAAAGACACGATCTACAAGCGCGCATACACACAGACAGAGACACACACACACACGCACACACTAACACACACACACACACACACACAAAAACTCCGGATCACAAACCTCCTCCTTTATCTCTCCCTTTTTCTGTGTCCTCGGTGGTGGATTCAAGACAAACGATTCCCAACAATCAGCATTTGTTCAACAGGATGGCAGCAGCTGGGAACTGACTGCCTCTGACCTAAGTGCCAATGCTAGTGGTGCCAACTGCATGACATCACCAGGCATTCCCCCCACCCCTCCACTCCCCCACACAAACACAACCCCCACCCCCTCTCATCGCTCCCCCTCCTCCCCCTCAGACAGCGGCCTATGCACATTGAGAATCACGGGAAGGATATCTGCTCACTGGGCAACTGCATATAACCCGAGAGGATAAAGGAAGCCTCTCTTTTGAATTTAACTAGAATTTATCTTTTTTTCCTCTCTACTTTCAATCACGCGGTGATTTTTGGACTTCCATGTGAAACAATTTCTGGTGATAAAGGAGAAGCCAACAGTGAAATAGGCCACTCGGCCCAACAATGTTATGCAGCTGATTCAGCTATTTATTATTTTAGTTGTACTGTGGAGAATACAATGTCTTAAAGATTCAGTATTTTTTAGAAAAATTGTCCTGCAAGCAATTTATTTATGTGCACAACAGAAGGCAGCTTCTTTCACAGTAAACTTGTGGGAAATGATCTTTCCCATCCCACCACAACATCTCAGAATTAATTAAAAGAAACGAGTCATTGTATTTCAAAAAAAATAACTTTAGTGACGTCTAATCATAATTTCTTGCCTCTGCTTTCTTTCTCCCAAATTCATTCTCAGGATGTGGGTGTGGCTGGCAAAGTCCAAATTCATTGCCTATCCAAGACCACCAAGAGAAAATGGTGGTCAGCTGTCTTCTAAGAATCATACAGTACAGGAAAACAAAAGGCTATTCTGCCAATCATGGCTGTGCCAGCTGTTTAAAAGAATGAACTAATTTGTTCAATGCCGTGTCCCTGTAACTCTGGAACATTTCCTGTCTTAAACTGCTGCAGCTGAAGATGCCAGGTAATCCTGAATCAAAGAAAAGGAGTCACCATCGATAACTGAGGTCACATGTGGTTGACACTTGCCAGGAAAAAGATGGCTGCTTTACCCAGTTTACCACCTTGATCAATCAGTCCCTCCACCACCTTCACACGATAACAGCAGTTTATCATCACCAGGATGCACTGTAGCAACTCACCAAGATTCCCTCAAAAGCACCTTCCAAACCAAGCCCTCTACCACCTCGAAGGACAAGGGCAGCAGGAACATGGGAACACGACCTTGGCCTGGGCTAACACAAGCTTACTTAAAACTATACCGCTGTGCCTTCACTGGCACTGGGGTCAAAATCGTGGCTCTCCATGCCGAACAGCATTGTGAGGGTCTCTACGTTTAGGAGACTCCATATGTTGAATGAGGCAGCAAAAGGCTTTCAGAGATTTACAAGGATTTTATTGTAAGCCTGTAGTTTAACACAAACATCAGCTTCCACCTTCACCTGTCCAAAAGCCAACACCTGGCTGGGCAGGAACCCAGTTCTTTTGAAATAAATAACAAATGTGGCCATTGCAAGGTGATACCAAAGCTTCAGTGATGTTTCTGGTCAGGTCCAAAGTGGGGACCTTTCATGTGTTAGACGAATGTGATAACAACTACATTACAGAAACACAGCACAGAAACATATGTCTTTCTTTTCAAATAATCCACCACTAAATTTCCCAATTCAACAACTGAACAAATAACAATTAACAAGCATTTGCCACCACGAGGCCAGGGTTCAAGTCCCATC